TGTACATGTTTTTCTTATCAAATTCAGGTCATTCACTGATGATAAGCATATGTAGCGTGGCGTCGAGTCGAGATTAACTATGAACACTGCTACCAAGAAACACGTGCCAAGTAAATCAGAAGGCGAAGGTTGAACGTAACCAAATAAATCCATAAAATCCCCGAGAAGCCAAATATCAGAAGGCAGTTAATGGACCAAGTCGAGATATATTTGCTGGCGATCTCGTGGTATCGAAAGGATACCGAGATCGTGCCAGGATACAAGCTTGGTTACAGAACGTAACCGAAATTGCGCGAAGTCACAATCAAAGTATAAGAATAAGAATGGAAGCACAATATAGCTGTCATTAGCACAGTCAAACAAAAGCACATTAAAACAAACACTGGTACAGTTGGTTATAATAATAATTGTTTTTATTAAACCAGTCGTGTTCTCGTGATAAATGTGAGTCACTACACATATCTTGATTTTGTTAATTAACAATCTTCATGGTACCATTGTAGTGATCGAGAACACAAGTGAGGACAATCGAATGTAACTGAACATAAAATTACAGGACAACTTAGTAAAATCTGAGAACCATACAGTAAATAATTCATTTGCAAAATGCCAGTCATTCCTGTCAGACTTCATTGTTTCTTCGTTTTCACACCAATTATTCTCTTTTCTTCAATATTCTTAACCTTCTACCTGTAGATATTTCATTTTCAATTGATGATACATACTACTTATATCTGTCGACATCAGTAGCACACGTCTGTATTCGTTTGATTTTGTTAAGCTCCTCAATTGACTTATTTGACAGACAATATCCCTAGTTCAGAAACAATTTTCTTCTATCTCACAATGGTTTACTCGCTTTCCTGAGTGTTTCTTTTAATTATATACTTATTTCAGTTTGTACTCAATTCGTGTGCTTTTGGAATTGTGATCCGCGCTATAAAACAGCAAACCATAGTCAGCTCTTCGAATTATCTTCTGAAATACATATACCGTTGGGAGTTACACAATAACAGTTATCAGGGCAATTTATATGGAAATCATATGAATTATCTCGAAGGTATTCTACTATACATTTATTTCAATCCTAAAACTAATTCTTTACCCCATATCCTAAACCATCATTCTAAATCCTAATTATAACTCATAACTAACCCCTAAATTATTTCCTAACTGTAGTTGTCATTATTAACTCTAATAAATATTAATTCAATCTCCTTATCTTTTACACTCATTCACAATTAATTCATTCCTATAATCATATGTGAGTGATTTCTAGTCGACAGTTAACATCTTGGTTTTACGATGTCTGATTAACGTTCTTCTAGATTGATCTGTGTGTAATAACTTTGAAGTTACTTTCTAATTCATCATTTGTTTGACATTCGACTTAAATATTGACATTTTCCCATATAAATTCACTTGGTATTGTTTACTTGTATCTTTCCATTGTTATTTAGGACTACAAATGATCAGTCTCTTATTGACACATGTACATTCTGTGCGTGTTGCCTCAATATTGCCTTAATTCACAAGATTTATAAGCAACTTCACCCCATTGCACAAGCAGGTGACGCGATGGCGTTTGAATCGGACGGTACCGGGGTGAACACCAACTCTAGGATGCGGGTACATCCAACTGACAAGTCTCAAATAGGAGGGATCGCGCATCCTGGATTCCACTGCTAGCTACTACCCACCTTTGCTTATAAATTTTTTCACATAATTAATTTAATTCATTCACATTAAACTATACAAATTAGAAAAAACACTTGACAGTTTGTTTACATATAAAAGGTGTCATATTTAAAAGTTATCACCAAGATTTTTAATTATCATCGGTGGGGGGTAGGGCGAGGGTTTGTTTTTCATCGGACGATATTTATTTTGTATATTTTATAGAAAAGATAAGAAGATAAAAATCATTGTAAACAAGGTAATGAATAAAAAACGAAGTAGTAACTAAAGCAACAACAACAAAAGTCGAATTACTTTAGAATGAACATGAACAATGGGCATTTTTAAAGAGGAATAAAAAAGAAACGAAACTGATTTTATGAACAATTCAAAAGTCTTATATTGAATAATTCCCCTCATTGTTCTCACAGTGATTATGTTAAGATTATAATTATTCTTTTTTATAGTAAAATAAATAGTTGCATAGGTCTCAGTTATCTCCATTGATCGATAAGGCAACTGTTTGGTAGAGATGGTCAGTAAATAAGGTATATATATAAATATATATAAAAGCAGATCGGTAAATGTAATACTAGGTGAAAAAAGAGGGTTTTAACGCCACTATACTTTCACAATTTAAAGGCTTCTGCTGAATACTACTATTTAATTAATAAGTAGTAAGTATATGTCGAAGAAAATTTGGGGATAAATAGTACTATGGATCAATAATTAAATGAACAGTTGAACATTGTAATTATTGTATACAAAACAGACAATTTTTCATGTTTGTCTTTGAAAAGATTGGCAAAAATTCGAAAGAAAAAAGTAACAGTTCGCCAGTGAATCAATAAAAACATGTTCACAATAGAAAAAAGGATAGAATAAGGCTTCTTTAATGAAATATCTTTAGTATGAACCGGTGGATACAAATAAAATTATGAATAATGAAAGTATTCTTTTATTATGATAAATACATCACTTGTTAATACACACCCTATATGCATATAATACTACTTAAAATGAAATTAGTAGTCATAACAATACTGAATAAAAGATGGTTAGTTATTGTTTAGCTTGTAAACATTAATAACCATTTAAAAGCAAAAATAATTTATGAAATAAATGAAGAATGAATTATCATTGAGTCATGAACATATTTCATTCATGTGTCACAAATATGTATGTAATACACGGATAGACATTCATTGGGCGCAACAAAAGAATAATTTATTATTGACTGAGAGTAGTGGGAGTTATTCTACCGGAGTTAATTCTGAAAAATAAAACAAAATGAATATAGAAAAAGCGGTTGTTATTATAAGATAGTGATTAGTGAATGCGATTTGTGAGATCTTGCTAACTTTTCTAGTTTGCATCATGGAATGACCCTAGTTAGACAAAGATTGGAAACTAGGAAGAGTTGGATAATTGTTTCTTTGTAACCTGTGACTTCACAACAGTGCGCATCCATGATCTCGAGCGTAGGATTCGAACCCACCACATTCAGTCTCGCGCGAGAATGTGGAGTTAAAGGTCTAGAGGTCAAGCGTTTCTACGCAATAACGAATGTGCTGGGTTCGAGTCCCGTGTGCACGATAGTGGGTACGTACTTTTGAGCAGTCCAATACCAGGACGAAACAGCTGTTCAGTGCCTTTAAGTTATCACTGGTGGTCTAGAGTAGATTGACTCGTGATTTCAACCTCGAAAATACCAAAATATCCACAAACATTCTCGATAGATTTAAAGCTGAGAAGATAAGCTAGCGAAGCTAGACAATATGATTCTAAAGATTGTATACATTGATGTTGCTATTGAGAAAAATCTGATAATAACACATTACTTTGGTGGAGGTCTTTGTATTTTCTTTCCATCATAAAATATATAAAAGTCAAAAGTGTTTGATTCGATCCATCATAATTCAGTATAAAAATGTATCTACTTGCCTGAAAGCTCTATATAAACCTTAAGCATTTCTAACTCAACAATTCTATCACACCATGATTTTATTCTTAAAATATGATTTAACAATCATTTATCGCAGAGCCAAATTATGACTGACGCATGAATGCTTCATTTGTATATTCATTGGTAACACCTGATGAATATATATCATGGATATTGTGTGTATAATGAAACAACTTTAGTGTTGAGTATTGAGTACAATAATTGTTTTTAGAATATAAATTATCTTCTCTTGAATAAAAGATAAATCATCACTTGGACATTGGAAAACGTGTGTATTTTTAATTAGATTTCATCTTACATGCAGCTGGAAGATCTAGACTTCTCAGATGATCTGACTCTTCTGTGACACACACAACAACAAATACAAGAGAAGACGTCCTGTCTAGCAGCAGCCTTAACAGCAGTAGGTCTCAATATACACAAAGGGAAATGCAAGAGTCTCCAATACAACACAACATGCACTAGTCAAATCACACTTGATGGAGAAGCTTTGGAGGATGTCGAAACATTTACATATCTCGGCATAATCATCGATGAGCACGGTGGATCTGATGCAGATGTGAAAGTGCGAATCAGCAAAGCAAGAGCAGACTATATACATTTGGAGAACATCTGGAACTCGAAGAAACCAACACTTAAGTCAGAATATCCTATACAAATATCAAGACAGTCCTACTGTATGTGGCGGAAACTTGGAGAACTATGAAAATCACCATCCAGAAGATACAAGTGTTTATCAACAGTTGTCTATACAAAATACTTCAGATTCGTTGACCAGACACTACGAGTAACAACCTACTGTGGGAGAGAACAAAACAGATTCGAGTGGAGGAAGAAATGAATAAGAAGTGCTGTGTGTGGATAGGACACACATTGAGGAAAGCACCCAACTACGTGACCAGACAATCCCTGACTTGGAATCCTCAATGCTAAAGGAGGTGATGAAGTTCAATGAACACATTACGCTGGGAAATGGAGACAGATATGAGAAGAATGAACGAGAATTGGATAGAACTAGGAAGGAAGCCTGAGGACAGAGTGGGTTGGAGAACGTCGGTCAGCAGCCTATGCTCGATTGGGGGTAACAAGCCTAAGTAAGTAAGTAAGTATATACTGTAATTATTATTGCTATAAATCAAACAGAATATTTTTACTGGATTATAAACAACTACAATATTGAAAATTGATTAGTATTGGTATAAGTTTTAAAATTATTTATACAGTATCCTCTACATACCTGTTTTTAATGATTTAATTATAGGTAGTTAATTCTTGGACAAGATTTTATTCTATACTAACTAACATATGAATTGACTCCTTGAAGATATACATATATATATACACGCATTTTTATTAATTATAAACATTCATTTGTACATTCAGATGAACAATCTATTTTCACTGGTGAACTCATCGTTCCCATTGTCACATCATTAACATTTGTAACCATTGCAGCAGTCCAATTAGGTTGTAAATTAGGTAATGATGAATCTTCTGTACAATCCTTCTTTGTCACATTATCATTATTATCATTATTCATTTGATGATTACATAATGGAATAGATAATAATTGTTCAGAATGTATATCAATTGGATGTAATGAATTCATTGATTGTATATTATTTGAATGATTATACTTTGTATTATTATTATTCATTATATTAATATCTATACTTGATGATGTATTTGTTGCCATAGCAACAATTGATTGATTTATATTTTGTGTTTTATTGATTATATTTTGTTTCGTTTTTAAATTTTCTGTATGTTTTTTTAAATGTTGTTGCATTGTACTAGAACGTATAAATGTATAATCACAATTTGGATAAATACAATGAAAATGTTTATTGATTTTATTATTATGACATAATGGACGACGACAATCAATACTAATATCATAATATTCAAAACCTTTTTCTATTATAGTATGTTGATGAAATTCACGACGATGTATATTAATTAAATCTAATTTGTTAGTAGACATATAACATCTTGGTTTAACACAATGATAATGTTGTTCATGGGTTATATAATAAGGACAATTTATATCTGGACAGATTTCATTAGGTAAAAATAATTTTATAGCATATTTTATATGTTTAAATTGATTTTGTTCTTTCTCATTATTATTATTATTATTATTATTATTATTATTATTATTACGTAATAACATGGTGTTATAGTTGCTAACGTGATTATGTAATACATTTTGATCAATATTATTATCGATCGGATCAAAAAACATTGAATATGTTAAATCAATAGTATATTGATTATCTATACATAAATATTCAGGTGGATTAATATGTGGTACATAAATATGTTTAGCATATTTTGGTGGTCTACCTCTACGTTTTGGATTCATTAAATTATTATATGTTGTATCCATAGTAACGTGATATTGATTTTGATTATCATTTAATGAATTAGTCATTAAATATTCATTATGTGAAAGAAAATGTTTATATAATATTTGGAAATTTAATTGATTTGATAAATTAATAAAATTACATTTTGGCCAAAAACGACAATGAATATGATCATTATTATTATTATTATCATTATTATTATTGGATTGAATTGGGCAATTTGATTGATTACATTCTATATAAGCATAAAATGATAAACATGCTTCCCATAAATGAGATAACCAATATTTACACCATGTTTTAGAAGAGTCTCCATATTGTTTTACATCATCATCGTCATTATTATTGCCATTACTATCATTATTATCATTATTATTATTATTATTATTATTATTATTAGTAGTAGTAGTAGTAGTAGTAGTAGTAGTAGAAGTAGTGGTGGTGGCCGTGGTGGTGGTGATGGAGGAAGTGGTGGTGGCCGTGGTGGTGGTGATGGAGGAAGTGGTGGTGGTAGTATCAATCATATTACTATTAATATTTGAATGACATCCTGGCCAAAAACATTTATTTAAATATTGATTATATGATTGATAAATAGAGATAAGAATTTTATCAATTTTTTTATATAATAATAAATGTTCATAATTTAAATGATCATCAAAATTATTGATTTTTATTAATATATGTTCCCAATTTTCACGTCGATATATACACATAGCAACAAATTTTGATAGTTTATTTAATAAATTATTTGTAGTCATTAAATTATTGAAATTATTATTGAAATCATTTTGTAATAATTGAAATTCATTATAAAATGATTGTTTTAAATGATTCATCGATGTATTTGTTTCTAATAAATCAATTGTATGGATATCAAGATTGAAATCAATTTTATTGATTTTATTTTCATTAATATTGATTACATCTTCATGATTATTATTATTATTATTATTATTATTGTTGTTGTTTTGATTAGATGGAGAAAATGTTTGATTGATATCATCATGACATAACATATTTATGTATTTCGGTGAAAATGATTCAAATCGTCTATCATGTTTTCGTTTATGTGACATGATTTGACTAGATGAATGGATTACATAATCACATCCTGATAAGATGATTTTCAAAACAAACAAACAAAAAAGCAATAATAATCTATAACAATCAGTTTAGTTAAGGATTAATAATGAAATGGGATTTTGATGAAGTTATGTTCTCTGAGATGGATGGTTTCATAATAGAGCTTTCATCGTTCTTATGAACGATGGCATCAGCACAAACTTCAGGTAGAAGTTCCACAACCAAACCATACATCTCGGAGAACAAAACTCGTAGATGGGGGAGGGGAGGTTGATTATGAATACAGTGGCCTCGAATGTTGTTAGAGGTATGAAGGTGGTTATCACTTCCCGATTGCCCACACCTTAGAAGGGTTCTTCTGGAGGTACCTGAAAAGGAAATTGGATTAGAGGTGGTCTTAGTGACCTGAGAGCGTGACCGCAGTGCCCAAGGGACAACTGCTTGAGGTCGGTCACATACAACCTTTTTATGGGTAATTTTTGTGTTAGCTCCATACTTGTTGAGACCTTACCGCCGGAGACGGATATCCGTGGGACAAGACGAGGTGTGTGTTTTTAGGGTCGACCTTTCCTAACCCCACCCCTCCTTGTGGGAAGGCAGCATCGCTGTTGTGCTGGTTGTCTGAAGGAAACACCTTACTGCTGGCACACTTCTGTACAGTCAGCAGTACGACTTCGCCTTCGGACCTTAGGTTTGTTGCTTTTAGTCTTACCGCTCTTCAACCGACCTGTCTGACATGGTAGGACCTTGAGGAACGGTTTTTTCAGTCAGTATAGCTCGGTTGCTTCATCACGATAGACAAACCCAATCACCACGTCAAGTAGCAACAACGGTCGGGCGTAGATGGGCACTGATCAAGATTATTATACTGGGACAAAACAATTGTCCAGTACTTCCAGGTTTTCAATAATTGTGTAACTTTTTTTTACAAAAAAACAACGAATCCTTATTGTGTAGTTTGCTAAGTGTACATTTAAAAATAAAATCCTAAACTTACCTGGTCGAATACAATGAATATGGTTTATTACGCCAGAATATTGACAATCGGGAAAATCACAATTTTCACATTTTATATAACGACGAAATCCATCTTGTGCAAATCTATCATTTTTCTGATGATGTACTTTATGTTTTTCTAGTGTGGAAAAGAGATAAGAATAGAGGTTAACGTAGTTTTTTTTCATAGTGGTCAAATGTAAATGATTACATGTTTTAATTTTCATTATACACTTATTCTACTCACTATTAATAAGTAGTATATCTCTACACAGAAAAGTATGTGTGGAAAAAATGGTACGTTTTGGTGTTTCTTTGAGAATTTTATTTTAAACTAATGACTGATACATATACCTCTGCTAATTCACTCACCATTAGATGATGATACCAAGCTACGAGGTTTTAGCTCATATAGACAGTGCTGATACATTCATTCTATCCCAAAATCAAAGCTTATTATATTTCGCCTTAATGACAACTGAATATGATAGGTCTACTGATTTGAATGGCTAAACTTTGTATGTATTTGTGATGTTCTGTTTAGTTGGAAGTGATTGCCTAGAAGCGATAAAGAATGAAGAGCCGATCGACAGGATTTATTGAACACTTAAAATTTAAAAATATGATACTGGTTAGTGTTAAAGGGCCGATTGAGGCCGACATAACTTACTAAAACCTCTCTGACTATGACTAGGTTAAAAATAGTTCAAACCTATAAATAGTATACATACTACATAGTGATGAATGATTCCAACCACTGGATATCAAACTTGTATGACTCATCATTGTGGTCGAGTGATTATGATCTTACCTGAGTAATATGTGATATTACTATCAGGTATTTAGGTGACAAGTTATTTTATGTTGTGAATATTTTGCTTACCAGCTAAATTAGTCAACCTTGGAAATGTTAACCATTATGGTTAATAATGTAACCATAATGGTTGAAGTACATAAGTTATCAGTAGACACTTCTAGGTAAGTTGCTAAGACTTGATTCACTATTACCTAATTGTCGATCGTTCCTACGAACATACATTTGTGTAGAATTTATAATATAAAATATTGTTTGTCGAATAAAAAACCCACTTACCCATATCAGCTTTATTTTTAAATGTAAAGTGACAATTATTACGTCGACAATGAAAATGTGTAGTACATTCTTTATAAAATGGACATTTGGTAATACCACAATTTTCTGTTGCACGAAATCGTTGAAAACCCTCTTGTATAATAACAGCATCTTTACGATGATAATTTGCATGCATTTGTACATCTGATGTACTGACATATACCTAAAGGTATATTTTTGGATGAGGAAAGGAGAATGGAGATGACATTATTAGACAATGCCAAAAAATATCTGTCTAAGACAAATGTGAACGCAAATATACTACTTGGATCCAGCGATCCTATTTATTAGGTAGTTACCCAGCAAAAGCATTGGAAGATGGTTATATAATGTAGGGAACTGATTGAGGTTAAATATACAAATTGTTGGACATCAACTTAATAGTCTAAAAGATGAGTGCTTTATACAAAGTCTGAAAGTTCTGGATTCGATTCCTATTGGGTTCGCCTCAAACACCATATTGATATCCGCTTAATTACTGAGTCCGGATAGTCGCTTACTTGTGCAATGGGTGTGAGTTTCAATTCAATTTGAAATGGATTGTTGTAGACGTTCATAACTAATCATTTATGAATCAATATGAAAATCTCAATCATGAACAGAAGAGTAAATAACTCAACTGAATGTAACACCGTATGAAGTTCTAAACCTCCCACAACTGCCTACAAACACGAAATATTATGACTATTATGCAAAAACTTTTGATCATACATTTTTAAAAACAGTAACATGTCTTTCTTACTGTTAAATATGACATAGTGGACGACTTCATAACACGTTAAATTAGAACTTTTGAAACGATGTTTAATGCTGCTTAGTTTCCTATTACTTTGTCAATGAAACCAGTACTTACACAATGAATCAGAGATCAAATATCACTAATGAGCTATTGGATGATGGCTTTACCTTTGAATGGCCTTGAAAGTGTACCGATATAGTCACTAAAAGAATGTATGAAATTCTTTCATCATTTCTTCAGTTGGTATATTTTACAATTATGAAAAAGAATGAATTGTTATGAAATTAACTAATTAGTAATAATCTATTTTGTAGTGATGAAGAGATTTTCAAATAGGTTAAATAAGTGTTTATTAACGGTGATAATCCATTTGAGTAAGATTATCTAATGATGAATACTTCTAATTCATTGTGTATTGGTTGTTTGAATCTTCCCACTGATATTTAAGATTGTAATTGATTAATCTCTTATTGGCATATGTGCATCCTGTACAGATTGCCTCGATATTGCCTTAAATCACAAGTGTTACAAAAGATATGATGGTGGCTAGCAGTTTCATCCAGAACGTGAACAGCGGTTGGGTCGAGTCTTGATATGAATATCAACTCTGGGATGCAGGTACATTCAACTGACAAGTCACGAATAAGACGAAACGTGTGTCTTGTGTGTCACTGCTAGGCACCATCCATCTATGTCTATGGTGAATATTTTATTGTCAAACTAGAAATTGTGAACAGAAAACAGTGATTCACTGGTTAAATCATCCACGACTCAACTAACAAGACTACAGTTCGAAATCAGCTTTACCGATGAATAGATTCAATAGTAAGATAACACTACTAGTCCTTAGGGAATATTACTCAAAAAATATTATAATTACATCTATATTGTGTAATTAACAGTTAATTAATCACCGGGCAATGATCATTTTCCTGTTTATCTAGTCTATTTAATGTTGATCAAATTCTATCGATCCAGTTGCGAACTATCTTGAGACTGATGTTTACAATTACTTATTGACTAGTTTCGTCAAACTGATTAACATTTTATAAGCAGTATGAGAACGGGTTTTTGTGGATATTATAACAATTTAATAGTTGAGTTCATGAGTCAACTGAAGCTAGATCACCGTGGAAAACCTGTAAGCACTGAACGGTCTACTTTTGGACTCCTCAGCTGTGGGCATCCACGATCCCGTAATATCGTTAAAATTAAATTCTGTATGAATAGGCTAAAATAGCATGTCGGATAAAAAAAACCAAGTACATATTAATTATGTCGTTTCATTTGAATGATCTTCCCCAATTTATGCTTATTGATGGTTTCTCGTTCTCTATCAGGATACAAATGTCTATAAATGAAGCTAATAATAGTCTAATCACAAGTTTTTTTTCTTTCTCATAACATTATCATAAGCAAAAGCACATAACTACATTAAATAATTGTTCAACATCAATATCAAAACTTTATAGAAGGTCTGGTAATATCCGAATAGTATATTAGTAACATTTCACATTGTAAAACTAAATGGCCTAGATTCTAATTCATCAATAAAACATCAATGAACTCAAGATTATAGATAGGTCTTGTTGACGTGTGAAAAGTAACATGAAATCTGTCTCTAGGACTTCTGTATAGTTACATTCAAACAGCTAGTGATTTTATAGAGACGTTAAAAAACAATTGATTTTCATTAATACCTGATATCAGCTGAGAACGCTTCACAATGAACAATGGTTAATCTACAACTCTATCATATCTAACTATTTACACTATTTTGTAATTTTTGAAAGATCTCCAGATGATTTCATTTCATCATCAAACCTATGAAATTCATTTATTTGTTTATATCAATGACTTTTCTGGTGAGTAAAAGAAAAATAATACAATTTTCCTTCTTTTCTCTCTCTCTAAAATAAGAGAAATCGATCCACACAATAGTTTAAAGAAATAATTTCCTGATATTATTTACATGTACACTCCACTGGTAACAGCTTCTCACTACGACTCCAGGAAATGCCTCTTGAAGTCAGTCACTAGTGAGTTTATGATCATTATCAGAAGGGGTTTTGTGGAGATTTTAGAAATTTCAATAGTTGAAATTATGAGTCAACTGAAGATTACCATACTAGGATGAAACGACCGTTCAGTGCTTCTAAGTTTTCCACGGTATCTAGCTTCAATGGACTCATGATTCCAACTATAGAAAATACTAAAATCTCCACAAGACCTGTTTTGATAATAATCATTGTTTCTTTTTTTTAGAAAGAAGTAAGTGATTACAATTCACATTTTTAATTTTCTATTCTAAAAACTAAATACTGTAGTGTATGCTACTGATGTCGACAGATATAAGTAGTATGTAACATTAATCGAAAGTGAAATACCTGGCAGCAGAAGATTAAGAAGATTAAAGAGAAGAGAATGAAAATAAATTATGATCTGTGTGGAAATGAAGGAACAATCAAGTCTGAAATGATGGACTAACATTTCGTAAATTAACTATTTACTGTATGGTTCTCATATCTTACTAATGTTATGTCTTAATGAAGATTAAATTACGAGTAACTTCTGAGACTTATCAATGAACCTATATTATCTATATATTCTTATGGTATAACTATTCAGTATTTAGATCATGTATATATACATATTCCTATTATTATAAGCTTCATTTTGACTTATAGATTATTATTGTACGATTTACTGTTCATATGTTATACTCAGTTTATTCATTACTGTCTCCCACGTTCACAGCCACTTTTTGGCTTATTTGTGTATGAATGTTATTTCCTATTTTATGGTGCGATGCGGTCTGTTTGACTGATATATAAACCCAGTATGTCTGAAACAAATGAGTCGCATAGTGGAATCTGTTATCAGCATTCTAGACTTAACTGGATGGGTTAGGCAAGCAACAAACCAATAGGACGCTAAACTGATCAAACCAGTTGGACGTTATCGTTTTAGTACAGTACAAGAACAAATAAGTCATATTTTGATTGACGAATAAATTACGTAATAACTAACAGGCAATAAAGTCATAACAACTAAGTGATTCTTTCATTTTATATCCATATACATTCGGTTATCACCACTTATATATATTTTCATTCACTAAAATACCTCTTGTGTTTATTCAATTCATATCATACACCGATTTTCAAATATTTATAAAACGAGACTAAAACAAAAGGATCAATTGTAATATCAGTTAAATGATCTATTGAATTATTCATTGTTTTAAATCTGTCATCAGTTTAGGCGGACTATTCAAATGATAATTTTACTCAGACATAATATAATACTGTTCCTTTTATTGTTTTTTATAACAATAATAATAATAATAATAATAATAATAACGAAGAAAACACACTCCTCAGTTATAATCGATTCTACTAAAGGGTCGTGTGTGAGTGTGTGTTTCTCATTACAAAACTTAAGTGGTTTTTTCTCTTTATTCTTTTCTATTCTACAAACCTGGCTTATTAAACTTTTCTTTCTTTTTTTAATAATTTTTTTTATGAAAAAAAACTTTTTTTTCTTTTCTTTTATGAAATATTTCATAGAAACAATATTTTTTTTTGTATTTTTGTTTTAAGTCAGTTAAACCATTAAAAATGAAAAGAATAAAATTTAACGAAAAAAATATGTGAAAAAAATTCTTTTTCATAAAATTTTTTTGTAGGTATTTGTTGTTTTTTATTGTGTGTGTGTGTGTGTAGCGCAGAGAAAAAAGAGAGAAAATGACGGAAAAAATAAATTTTTTTGTTGTTGTTGTATAAATAAGTTAATGTTTACTTTGTGTATGTCAGTAAATCGATCTATACAAATGTAGGTATGTAGGTGTATTTATTTATTTTATAGTTGTATTCATGAGTTGATCTAATCTAGATAATTATGGAAAACTTGGAAGCACTGAATGGTTATTTCATTTTAGTACGGAAATCATCAGCATTGTGTATTCATGATATTGTATGCGGAAATCGGACCTAGGACTTTTTAGTCTTGTGTGTGTGAACATCTAACCTCTAGATTGGTATCTAATAGTGTTAGTGTTTAACATCAATTAATCTATGATCTTGTACAACCCTTTCAGTTTTTCGATGGTGGTCTAGCTTAGATCGACTCATGAATTCAACTATTAAAATCTTTGCTAGTATGGGGGTTGTGAAGATTACTAAGTTTTTGATTGAGATCATGAACCGACTGATGTTAGACCACCTTTGGAAATCTGGAAGCACTGAACGGCCGTCTCATGCTATTGTGGGAACTCCTTAGCAGTGCGCATCCACGATCCCGTTCGCAGGACTCGAACCCAGGGCCTTCAATCTCGTGTGCGAACGCTTAACCAACTGGACCACTGAGCCGGCATCCAATGGTGTTAATGTCTAACATCAACCAATCCACGAAATTGCGCGACC